GTCTAAACCAATGCACTCAAGCCCTAATGCACTGGCAACCAAAACCAATCACAAAAATCATAAAAGTTCAACAAGTACAACATGAACCATAATATATTATACGTGATTAGCCAAAGCAACTTTCATTCAACCAAATAAAAGCCGGTTTTGCACACAATAGTGTAAATCACAGGAGTATATAAACATCATCTAAACACAAAAAACAATAGAGGTGAGGGAGTCATACCTCATGCACGAGAGGGTTCAAACATAAAATGCAAATGCAAACTTGATCAAAGGCAAATAGAAGATGGGAGGAAGAGAAGAGAGAGAACACTGGAACATGAACTCACCTCGACCTCGCCCAGAGTGAAGGGAGAGAGAAGAGAGGGGGAAAAAGGAATTGGCCGTGACCTTTATATGGGCTTGTCGCGCCTGAGTCGCTGGCGCGATAGGGCGAGGCCCACGGCACGCCACGCCAGCTTCGGTCAACGATGCGTACCACCGTGGCGCCCCTTATCGCGCCAGCACATGTGGCGCGACAAAGTGGTGTAGCGCTGGCGTGACCAAAATAGCCATATTTGCAAATATTTGTTTTTTTTTGGATTAGTATTAAAATATTATTTAAAAAAAATTTAAAAATAAATAAAATTTCGCCGCCCATCCACACTACACTATGGGCCAAATTACAGCCACTAAAACACCCTACTACCTTTGTTGTCGCTAGCGTACGGCCATTTGCTGCTGTTTAGGCTATCCGCACTCATCGACCTCTATTTTCATCTCTAAAAATGAATATTCTATTCTAGTCATCGAGATCCTCTACTCTATATCCATTTCTCCCGCACCCGTATTATCTCTATCACATACTCTATACCAACTACTCCATATTTTATTCTCCTCCCTCCCCCTTTCTCTCTCTCCAACTCTCTCTCTCTCTCTCCGCTACAGTACATTTAGCGTGCGCACAGTGGTCCTCCAGGAGTAGCGTTCGACCGGCCGGCCGATTGCGTAGCGCGCGGTTTACAGGCGAGCGGTGCGGGCTTTAGCGGTGCGGCCGCGGCGTAGCGCATGCTTTAGAGGCGAGCGGTGCGGACAGCCTAACGACGCAAATACCTTTGCTGTCGCTAGCGTACGGCCATCTTCTACTGTTAACGGCTCAAACATACAGTACTATCTGCATGGACAGAATAACTTTCCTAATCATTAACTATGCAACCTCACTAGTATGATATTGTGCTAGTTATTAACGAATAGCCTACCTCTCGTAATCAACGGGCTGTTGCATTTCGAAAACGGTGGAGACTTGGAGTGCAGTGCCACCGTCTTGATATCACGCCACACTGAACGTGAACAGTGCACGTCGACGTCGATGGTTCCTTGAACCCGGAAACGAGATCTCGCTAGCCAGGTAGTCGATTATCGATCAGCAGTTGTTCGTGCAATCATTTTTCAGTAATTGAGCGGTCCGGACCCAGGTGTGGAGCACGGCGCTTTTACTGCCAGTGCCAGTGTGACCGCACCACGGGCAGTAGCCGCCCGTGCTACAGCACTGCAGGAGCATGAGCTGGGCAGCTTCCTCAGAACTCAGAAGAGCCCTGGCCCGTCCGTCCGTCCCACGCGGTTAGGCCTGACTGACAGCCGGGACGACAAGGACATGTATGCTTGAGCTTATTCAGAATATTTTCAATTATAGCACAGTATTTTTCTCAGATAATATTTTAGCGTAAGTCAAATTTCAGAATCAAGTGAACAGGGTGAAGGCCCGCACCACCTCACGCAGCTGTGCCAGCCTCCTGTGCCTGACAGCCGTAGAGCGGCTCCACCGGCCGCCGCGGGCCGGCACCGCCGCTCGGTCGTGCCGCGTCCGGCGCGCGGAAGTGTCTTGGGGGGCCGGCTGGGTCGGCGTCTGACGGTCGCCGGATCGAACTGCTGAATTATTGTCCCGCCGGCCGGACCGGGCCACAGGCCACCGGCCACGCTGCTGGGGCGCGCTGGCACGCCTCCAAAAAGTAAGCCAACAACAGCGAGGCGGCAGCCAGCCGGCGTCGGTTCGGTCCAAGGCCTGCGCGCGGTCCCGGATCCCCTTTTCTGGGAGGCTCAGGCTCTCTCATCCGCTGTAGCGCTGCTCATTTTTGCGCAATGCAGATGGAATAAACGTACACATGTTTCACGGTTACAATGCCCCCACCAAACTCGTCCATCCTTTTACCATCTTTTCTGAATCTGCCATTGCCTCTCTGAAACATAAATAAACCCTTCAAAATGTTGAGGCTGAGTCCGTATCCATCTTTTCGTTAAAAAAAAAAAAAGTCCGTATCCATCTGAACTTGCCCTTGCTACTTCAAGCTGTTCACGCATGACGGCATGAGTTGCAATGTCCTGTCGTGTGTTGTGAAAACTAAAACTTTTTTTTTGAATCAGTGAAAACTAAAACTTGCATTAACAAAGGATAATGATTCCAACCGGGCGACCGTACGGCTCGATGCGTCTCCCCACTCGCTACACTCGCTCCCTCTCGTCCGCGCCCAGCCATCCGCCTCCACCAGCCGGTGGTGACCGCGCTCCTCCGCGCCTGCATCCTCCTCCTCCACCATGGTGTCCTCTCCCCCCACGAGCCGTGCGCCCCGCTGCCTCCCTCTCCCTTCTCCTGCTCCGACATGGCGGCGTCCCCGGCGCGAGCACGAGCTCTGATCCACGCGGCCACCCCCGACGACCCCCTTCCTCTTCTCCGGCCGGCCACCCCCGTCGCCAACTCCGGTGCGGGGATGGGCGCGACCTCGGCAACGGCCCTGCCCTGGCACCGGGAGCCCCCAATGCCCGCAGATCCGGCGGCCATGGCGCTCCCCGCGCCAGGCACTCTCTCCTCATGTGTTGCAATTGTATATTTTAATTGTTTCAGATGTTTTAGAGGTATGTTGCAATTGAACCATATGGATGTTGCAAAAAAATGATCGGGGATGTTGCATATGTTGCAATTGTTTTCAGATGCATGTTGCAAATAGTATGTTTCGAGTGTTTTAGATATATATTTCATCGTGTGTTTATCGGACGCGTGTTGCGATTGTGTTTATCTGGATGTTGCATATGTTTTCACACATATGTTGTATGTGTTTTATTCGGATGTTTGCGTATGGTTACAATTGTTTTCAAGTGTTTCTGAAGCATGTTTCAAGTGTTTCAACCGTCTTCGTACATATGTTATAACTGTTGTTTCAGAATATTTTAAAAGTAGATCAGGTGTTGCATCTCTCTCCTCCCCATCTTTTGTTGCATCTCACGGTTGGGAGGAGGGGCGCAAGCGTGGGGCGTGGCAGGCGTGCTCTCCTATTTGCTCGGGCACACCTTACGTGATTTCTATTTCGATTCGATTTTACGTGAGGGAGCGGATGGTTGCGTAACGTAGCCGCGTCCGGACGCAGCCCTAGACCGGACGTTCACGCGCTAAGCTCGCCGATTAACAAACAGCCCGATGGATCGGCGAGTTATGTTTCTCGTGCGTACGATCTAAGGCTCGCTTCACCCTTTGCCTTAGTTTAGTTACAGCGCGGTACGTGATCGAGTACCGTCAGGCGTCACTTAACTTGGTACTGAATTAAAGTGGAGTTTTGGTGTGGCATTCAGTTACAGTGCATGGCTGTAGTACTCTTCAGTTGGCTGCTTGGCTGTGCTCGTCCAGTCGCCTTGGCACCTTTTTGACTGGACGCACCGCAACCTCTGTTCACGTGCGGACGGGAGATGCCCTGTCCCTTTGCCCCGGCATCACCGTGGACGAGACAGCTCGCAATCTCTAGGTGCAGGAGCAGGACGTCCTACGGCGTTTCCGTATCTTTGGTGTTCCACCGTGTCCGCGGATTTTCCGCCTTTAAAAAATCACCAGATTCCTCAGTCCTTGGATGAAAAAAGGTGTGAGCGATTGCGCTTTGAAGATCATATCATTTCACAACTGCGAAAAGATACTCATGTTTGTTTACATTCCGTTGGTTGTCGCCGTAGCGGAAGGGCGTTTTGTTTTTTATACGGGTCACGTTTTTCTCACGGGGGACAGTTTTGTGTGTCTGGTCGCTGCAGTCTGCAGATGTAAAGAAATTGGGTAGTACCAGTACGTCCATACCAGGACTGCAGTAGCGTACACACATGCGGTTTCATGTGCCGTGTGTCCAAAGTCCAGACTACCGAGGCCAAAATCGCTGGCAATTAATGTCGGCTGATAGAGTGAATAGTGCGTTTGTATGCCTAGACTTGCTAGACAGGTGATCTTGTAACATCACCATGCAGTACACACGATAGCTTCAGCTTGTTTGGATCCCAAATTCCCAATCACCGGCCACGTCAACAGTACCCTTGTTTCGTTGTGCACGGGAGCTGCTTGTTGCTTGCGAGTAGTTCGTGGAACCGAGACATCCGCTCAGATTCGGACCACCACTACAACGTCGTAATCGTATCGTATCACGGCCGCACAGCAACTTTGGCCTCGGGCTAGAGTGTACGCAACAGAAACATTAGGAGGTTAGGACACAGGGGGACGAGGATGACGGAGCACAACGGACATGTTGCTTCTCTTATAATCCGTATTTTTCTATTTATTATTTTAGCTAAAATAGTATTTTTCTCCCACAACAAATCAACTAGAACAGTATTTTGAGTTGTTTTTTCAGCGAGCCGAACAAAGCCTCGAACTCCCTCGCGTTCTCTACGAGCCTTCCAACCTCAAAACTCTCGAAACCATCCCCGTCCCCGGCAGCTCCGTAACTACTGTAGTACGTTCGAGAGGTAGAAATTCCAAGAGATTGCGAAGCAGTAGCCCCTCGCCCAGAGCGCCCGTTGCGTTCGTTCGTGTTCATCGACGTCACCAGCCACCACGTTGTCTCTCCTGGCTGGCTGCTGCCAAACCCTGCCGGAGCTTTGCGGAGGCAAAATCTCCTCTGCTTGTCCGCTTCCCCTTGTATATAAAAAACCGCCGTGCGTGGGCGTGGCGGGTGCCGCGCTTTAACCGCCCCACTCCCTCCCTCCCGCCATAAATGGCCACTCCCGCTCCCTCACCCACCCCGCCGGCGCCGCCGGCCTCGCAAGACCTCCCCGCTGGCGACCAGCGGCAGCAGCAGCAGCCCCACCACCACCACCCGCTCCTCGCCGCGGCCGCCGCGGCGTCCCTCCTCGCCGTGCTCTACCTCCCCCGGCCGGTGCTGCTGCTCGTGCTTTCCCCGGCCTCCCTCTCCTCTCTGCTCCTGCTCATCTCCCTCCTCCGCCTCGGCTCCGCGTCGCCGCCGCCGCCGCCCGCTCTCGCCGTCCCTCCTCCTTCCCCGCCGCCGACCGAGGACAAGCAGCAGCAGGCTCCCGAGGTCGCGCTCCCGCCGCCTCCGCCTCCACCTCCTCCGTCGCCGCCGCCGGAGCCGGAGCCGGAGCGGGGGAGCGTGTTCCCGGAGGTCCCGGAGTTCGCGTCGTGGGCGGCCAAAGGGCGCGCGCTGGAGGTGATCCACGAGGAGTTCGAGGCCGAGTGGGGGCTGCCGGAGGAGATGGGCCTGCCGTGGGACTCCGACTCCGACTCCGACTCCGACTCCGACCTCGACTCCGACTCGGACAGCGGCACCGGCAGCGGCAGCGATGAAGGCTACGGCGGCCGAGGCGGCGACGGGGAGGACGGCGGCATGATCGAGATCGAGCTGGAGGAGGACAGCCTCATCGAGATCGACATCTCCAGGTGCCGGTGAGGCGGTGACGGATGATGGACTGCGTTTTTTCTTTTCCTTTCCTCGCGGGTTAAGATCCTTGATTGATACTTGGACCTGGGGTTCTCGACAAAAAAAAATTATCTGCTTAGTGATTAGGCGTGTGGGTAATTGGAGTTCTTCAGTTGCTTTCTCTAGACGGTTTTGCCGCAATGTACATATAGGACTACGAATTTACGATGATGAGAGATACGGAGCGAGAAGCTTTGCTTGCTTTTTCCCCCCTTTATTATTTATTGAAACAGCTCGATTTGGTACGTCCATGATAACTTAAAATCTTACTGCTGTCCCGCCTCTTAAGTTCATCTCGAATGATTGTTCTGGTGGTCTCAGTGGCCATTGCAAGAATGGCAAGTTGGGGGCATCTTCATCTCCCTCCTGGGTGGCAACTGCTGTGCCACAATGCTCCACTGGTGCGCGCTGTTCCTGTTCGATGCATTCATGTACGCCATTAGTGGTGGCTAGGATTGTGCCGGAATCGCCAAACTCTTGTGTGCCTTGGCGATGCCGCTTGGATCTGGATTCCTAGATCGCGTCAGTGGTAGTAGCCCGTTTGGTGGTTGGTTGGACCGCTGGGTTGTGGTTAAAGCTGTTGGTTCGCCAAATCAGTTGGCAACACAAGAACAACCCACCCTGGTCGCTCGAACTTATCAATCATGTTATTTTTCTCTCACAATGAATAAATATACTTTTTAACGAAGCAGGGCAATGCCAATGCAATGCTGATGTGATGCTGCTCCAGTACACACCGACTGAACTGAAAGAATATCATCTGATCCAGACATGCAGTACTACTCCATTTTTCATCAGAGCTTTTAGCTTTAGTTGCTGCTGCCTCTTTTGCACCGCCTGCTGGATCAAAGCTTGGTTACCTAATCGCCTTGCACAATGCTGTATAGCGGCAAACCATGTTTGGTGTCTAGCGGTCTCCAGCCGCTTGTCAGTTTTCAGGCTGCATGCTCTGATATCAGATCGTTTGCAGCAATTACAGGCCGGCAGAAGATCAGGTACGCTCGATGTCAAGTACCACGTGAACAGACTGGTCCGCTTCATAAACATGATTTAGACGGCCGCCCGTTCAGAGATCAGATATATATATTCTGGCAGCATACTGTATGTAGTTGTAGTTTCCGTAGGAGGTGCTGCTATCTTGTTTACACCTAACTGTGCTCTCTCGACGAGTGTACTTGCACGATAGAGTATTTGAGTTTTTATATCTATATAAACGGACTGCAACGTGACATCGATGTGTGCCAAAGCCGAAAAGGGAGGGATGGAGGAAAGTGAGATCGGATCGTGTCGTAGCTCCGATAGGATGTTAGGTGGTCTGGACCCGCGGACGAGGTCGGGTCAGTGATCAGTGGAAGAGCAGTGTGTTCATGGGCCTATAGTTCAGAGACAAGGCTGAAGCTGTATGCTTGTCCAGTCCCCTGTCTCCCAGCTTAGGTTTTGGCCTATGTGCCTTACTCGGACGAAAAGATAAGGAACTGAAGCTCATAGGCCGAGCGTACTGTACAAAGGTGGAAAAGTTATTTTGGTCATATCAAGTGACTACTGTCCTTCAACTTCTGTTCTGGACTCAATCTAGTCCATTGTCTTCACTCCTACGTAGCATGCCACGTCATCCACCTCGTGGATCAATCTGGCCACCAGCCTTCACTGATTCCTCCTATCTCTCATGCCCTTGACCCTATTTGTTTTCGCTTATAATTGGATTCTCAATGAAAAAAAAATGAGAATCTTGACAAACGCTTCAATTACTTATGATTCTTTTGACCATCATTTCATAATTTTGAACTAGCACAATCAATAATCGAAAAGAACCTGCGTTACGAGGATCGTAATCGAATCGATTATAAACAGTTCCAAACAAGGCCCTTGCCCCCCCCCCCCCCCAAAAAAAAACTTCAATTCTATACTGTTATAAAAAAATATCATCATGTACCACTCTGTCTCATTGGGTGTTGGTTGAGCACTTCAGCGACACGATGCCCTCAATCACCTTGACTCCACGAGTAGTGGTGAAAGTGAACATGGCAAATCTCATACGGTCAGTCAGTCACCATTTTTGTTTTCTATATTACGGCATTGTTTCCAAAATTAACCAAGCATAAAATTGATATTTACATCCATTTTCAATCTAATTTATATTCATTAATTTCACAAATCCAGAACTAACCGTTTTTGTTTTCTATTGTAATGTCGTTACTGATTGTTTCACCCCCTTCGTCGTCTTCTCTCTCCTCCGTCGTCGATGCACTCCTCGAAGACGTGGCCCTAGGCTCATTGTCCACGACATCCAACTGCTCAAACTTGTGAATCCGCCCATGAACTCTGGCAACATGTCCGGGAACTGGTTCAAGCTGAGGTCATAGAGCTACCTAGTGGGTGTAGGAGCTAGGCCCAATGTTGAGGAGAGGAGAACAAGTTCATTCGACATAGGTTGGCGAGCCCAGTTATCCTAGACGCTAAAGCCTAAATGTTAAATGGTTACTAATTCTATGTAGTGTTCAAACGGTTTAGACGATTTAAACGATTTGCACTGTAGCAGTAAAATACATATAAAGCTACAAATATTTTAGTTTCATGCTAACTTTTTTCAAGTGCAGGAAGAGTTGGGACACAGGAGGCTTACCTCCTCGTCCTCGTCGTTCACCTCGGACTTGGACTAGTCAGAATCACCAGACGCTGTGGGGCGTCCACAGACTGCAACGACAGATGTCACATGAGTACATGAACTCACATCACACACAGACGAATTTACAGGCACTGCCGGGCAACGTGAGTGGAGTCGAACATACTGTACCTGCTTGTTGTTGTAGGCGTCCATCTTCTTGGTGTACTCAGCCTCAAGCTCGTCCATCTTCTTGGTGTACTCAGCCTTGAGCTTCTCAGCCTTAGAGACGTAGGCAGCCTTATCCTGCATTTCAGGATTCTCACGACGTCAGAGGGTGTTCCATCTCAGTACTGGTTTCAGACATAAATGGACACAAACATATACTGCATCAAGGCGTTAAAGCAACTGAATATGCAAGTTCACCAACAAAACTCTTCTATGGACGAACAGGTTTCAACATCGAATTGAACAAAATAGTGTCAAGTCCCCACAATCTATTGAACCAAACAGACAGCATCAAAGGGGGATAGCACTAGGCAGCAGCAAGTCCACAGATCTGAAGTCTAAACAACCATCTAGTAACTTAGACGGCGGTTATTACAATTCCAAAACATGAGGCATGGTGAAAATTGAATTGAAATCATGAGCAAAACCACCCCAAATTCGAATTCAAAACAAACGACGGAATTTGAACAGATCTAGCTCTGCAGCAAGTAAAGACATGATATTTACAATATGCTGCACAGGGGACCCTACCCGGACGAAACTAGAGCAGCATATTCATCGTAAAAACAACAAAGCACATCGTAACTAACTGCAGTCTCAAACGGTTAAAATGGGCAAAGGGAGCAAGCAAACTCACAGCATCAGAAAGGGACTTCCACTTGTCACCACCAGCCATGCCAATCTTCCATTCACAGAGCCATAAACATCAGAAACGCAAGTTTCATAGCAGCCCACCACGAATATTCGAATCAAATGACGGAATCATGGATGAACCAACCTTAGCCTTGGAGCCTATAGCACTTGTAAAATTTTCAGAAGAGGAAATCGATCCTTGATACGGAGCAAATCCAACTTCCCTTTTGCTGAAAATGCAACAAGAGCATCGGCTACGTAGTTCGGAAACTAGGCCCTTGCAGTTCTGAGCACGTTTGTGCGCATCAGTTCTCCTTTGGAGTTTGGGAAATTCTCGATGACAAGAAGAACCTCATGTTCCACGGAATGTACGGCACTGTGCCGCATGGTTTGAACAAGAAAACTGCCTATGCCAGAATTATATGTGGGAAGTCCTAGGGGTGTGATGACGGCATGTGGAAGGAAGACCGCCTGAAAGTTTTTGTACTGCAGCTTAAAAGGGAAGCTCTTTGGTTCATACTAGCGACGGGCCCACTCCGGCATGAACTGCACAAGAAGCCCATGGCTCAGTATGATGCCCTGTTTTCCTACCCGATGTTCTCCAAGGTATCGCGGTAAGTCCAGTCAAACCAAAGTGGTAGCTGCTGCAAGAGCAGACGATGAATCTCAATGCAAACATCTGCAAATGTATCAGTGGACATTGTGGACGCATGATACAGAATGGTTTGTGGCAGGACACTCGGAGCACTGATGTCTGTAAAGTATCTCAATAGATCAAGGGGTAGTAACTACAGTGACCTCACACCATGGTACTTTACAACTAGCTGCTTGAGGTAAAAGATATATGCCTTGTACACATCCTTTGGTCCACAGAACTATTCCAGACTCTTAAAAACAATCACTCCCTCACCTTTGAGGATACCCACATTGTCCTTCCTGAAGGGATTGGCAAATCTCATATTGGACTTCGTGAGGAAGAATGCAGAATGACTGCCAGCGTGGAGGACAGTGCGTACTCTATCTGACAGCTCATAAGGACTCTGAGTACGGTCATGCAAAGACCGGGATGGTATGGGGGTGAGGAACTGCCGATCCAAATACTCATCCATGCTAACATACATGGTCCCTGGATAAGTGACAACCCCGTAACGGCCCCTTCAAAAATATAATGTTGAGACCTCGATGATCGGTGCCAAAGAACACTTGTCCAAGAAATTATTCTGAAAGACGTCATTGTCTGATCTCGTAAGAGAATGCATAATGGTGGCAACCTGTTATGACGCAACTGATGTTTAAGCTAGACCTTGTGCCTCTTTTTCCCGCTAGGGTTTTCGCATAAATCTTGGTGTCTAACCTCTATTTGATAATGTTCTTGTCATATGTGTTGTTGATTTGTTTGTGCCATTTGCTCAAGTTGGATGGCTACCTATTGTTGGTATATGAGGCATACATGTGTACTTTGATTTGTTGACAATTAGATGATGGGGATTAATGGTTTGTGAAGAGC